GTCGGAGGTAGCAAGCGTCAAGCGCCGTCTCATTACATGTGCGTAGGCACGGCGGCTGTAGCAGCTCACAAGCACGCGCACAAATGGTTGTCGCGGCGAGTTTCTGAATCGGAGTAGCGGGTCTGGCAGAACAGCCGATTCCATCGGCGCAGAGGGCGAGGGGTTCCCCCTCACCCTCCTCTCTACGCCGGATCTCTCACAACATCCGCCCGCGAATTCGGGACAGTCAGCCATTTCTGTTTCTTTTTTTTATATATATCTATAATATATATTTGCGCTCTCGTATTTTCGGCGCTTCTCCGAAACATACCCCAAGCTCCGCCCAGGGTGCCCGTTTTAGCACCGCTCCACTCGCCCCTAACCCGACAGCAAGGTGGAAGCTACGTGCCGGTCAGACCAATCGTACGCCTCTCTTTTGTAGCCACGTGATCACGCTCCCCTCCCGTCCGTACCCACGAACGAGCCGAGGAAGAGGTCACGTGATCAAAGGAAGGCCCGCTCATTGGTCAGGCGACCGCGTAGCTCCTGCTCCATTGTCACCTTAGGGCTGAACGCAGTACGTACCCCGCGCTTTCCTTTTATTATTTTTTTTTTTTAACGGGTGTGTTTGCCGTGCGTGAGTGATTATGTTATTCGTTCGTGTTTTTTTATTATTTATTTTGTGTTCCGCGTGTGTACCGGACGAAAAACTATCCGTTGGAGGAAATAGGTGGGAGTCGGGGGTCTGTTGAAATCGGAGCGGCGCTGCGCATGCTCGATGCCGTCGTCCGCGTACGGGTGCTGCCACGCCGCCGGAAGTGACGCGGGTTGGCACACCAGCGCGGGACCGGAAGTAGCCCTCGTCTCAATACGCTAGCGATCGCTCAATGCTCGTCCGGTCGGTCGCTCCGTCTGCTTTGGCTCGCTCAGTTCGAACACACCTCTCTTTTGAAAAGGAAAATTTTCGTACGAGCAAAAAGAAAAAAAGAAAAAAGAAGTTTGGTGGAAGTAGCTGACATTTGATGCTGCGTCGAAAGGGTCCGGGACATTTGAAAAACTCTGGAGTTTTGCCATTTCTACGCGTCCTGGATTCCCGGAGGCCTATTTTTACACTTGATCTCTTTGGGTAGATAGATGAAAGTTCCGCTTGCATCTGCCCCTAGCGGCTAAGTTGAAAACTAAACCTACGGAGACGACAACTTGTATGCCTTTTTTGACGCAGCACTCGTGTTTAGTCTGTATCACGCGACTGAACGAGGAAGATGATGCGAAGTGTCTGTAAACATAATTTGTGAAAAAAAAAAAAGCTAATCAAAAGCGTTTTTTTTTTTATAGCTCCATCTCCGTTACTTCAATTTTCTTTCAAAAAATTATGATTATTATTATTATTATTATTATTATTACTTCCTGGAGCACGACCTGAGGCTAGCAGTCGTGCCACACAGGTTCAATTAATCATCCAGAGCTTGAACGGGTGTCGCCGTGCCCCAAAGGCAAACCGATCTTACTCCGTCTGCTAAACACTCGTCTGATTTGCTACGCATTGCTTACCCCTTATGGTTATCTTAGCGTTCTTTACCTTCGCATCTCAGTTGGAGGTTAGTTCTCGTCTCCCCCGGCGGCGGCTTCCATGTGGACGATCGTGAAATCACCGCTGCCTGACGCACCTGATTCCCCCAGATCAGCATCGCAGTATTCTTCGCAGCTCAAATTGCCCCCTGATTCGCTTGGATGTCTCTTGTTCACATGACTAGCAATTTTCTTTTTTAGAGCGCAGCTCTTAGGCGCCCGTTTCCGGCTTGAGTGGCGTCGGCGTAACCGTGCGGTCACGTGACCCCCCCCCCCCCCCCCGAAATCACATGACCCTCAGGACCCTTCCCTCCTCCTCCTCAAGAGCTGCGCTCTAATTCGTCGTTACAGAGAGTTGTAAACAGCTTTCATTTTTTTTATTATTATTATATGTTCGATTTGGGGGGGGGGGGGGGGGGGGGGGGCTGTGCAATGTTTTATTTAATTACGCCGTGTCGTACTCTGTTCATACCGTCTCAACACCTAACGTCTCATTTGCATGTTTTTGCTTTTTTTTTTCTTTGATGCCATGATCTCATTTTCCGTGTACGTAGGGCCCTTCAGATATTCAGCAGTAAAATTAAACTCTTGCGTTTGTGCGAGAGAGGGGCAGGGAGAGGAGATTGGAAACATCTTGGGACAATCGCTCGAAGGTAATAAAGTAATAAAGGAAATATATTTCCTTTAAGTAATAAAGGAAATAAATAACACTTTTTTAACTACAGAGTCATATTTCCTTGGAGAAACGTGTCGATTTTCTTCTGACCTTTTACGAAGAGCCGGTGTTTTCGTGCGCTTTTGAAGTGAACATCGTAACTGATAAAGTAAGAAGTTCGTTTTTTTTTTTTTTTTTTTTTTTTTTTTTTTTAAGGGCATAGTAGGACTCTGCAATCGAAGTATCAGTATTGAGCTAAAAAAAAAAAAAAGAATTACGTTCATCCAAAACAACTTTTCTCTGTGACATTTTTTTTTTTTTTTTTAGGTGGTTCGGAAGTGATTTTTATTTCATCACCTCTGCTTCTCTCCGCCGCAGCTTTTATTGTTTCCGGTGGTATACGTTAGCTATCAAAAATATATAAAAAGAGAGAAATGAACACGAACGTTTGAACGCATGCTTTGGCGACGGCGTCATGCGATGTTACGTGGTACCACAAACCGTTCTTTTTTTTTTTTTTTTTTTTTGCGCAGCTGCAGCGTTGCGCATTTCGCTAAAATAGCGTACTTTGCGCACTACACAAAGCGGACTCTGCACATGTGTAAAAATAGCCTTTTTTTTTTTTTTTTGCTGTGCGAATTATTTACATCCGTGGACTATCAATATCTACATTTTTTTTTTTTTCAAAGATTGTTTATGATTAGACGTGACTTAATTTCTGAATAACGGATAACGTTAATGATGACTTCTGTATGATACAGGTGAGCCTATCAGAGCATCGAAGAAGGAAGCAAGGAACGTGAATGTCATCAACCGAACACACCCCCCCCCCCCCCCCCCCTCCCCCCGGGTATTGATTTGTGAAGGGACGAAATCATGGTGTTTGTCGTGCAAGTGAGAACCAGTATATAAGACTTGCGAACGGAATGAACGCGGATAAACGTTGTCCTCCAAACTACACACAAACACTCACACAAAGAAACGAAGAAAAAAGAAGAAAAAAAAGCGACGGTTGCTTTATCTTTTACGATAAAGCCGAGGTGCACAGAATACGTGATGGATACTTTGTTTTGCATGGCGCTTTTGCCTTATTTTATTATATATAGGCCCGAAATTTAGCGGAAAGCGCTCCGCGCTAAACTGGAAATCGAATCGGTGAATAATTGTACCCTCAATCTAGGTTATCACGCTAAATTTAGCGCAGAAATGACGCGTTATTAGAGGGATTTGCAGACCGGAACGATCTGCAAAACCTCTCATGACACGTATCACTATCGCCACACGTAACGATCATTATCAGTAATCGGAACGATGACTGATAACGCATCGGGGGTATCGGAGGTATTTGAACGGTCTACTAAAACTCTTGTGTTGCCGGTGTTTTTCGGCGATTTTAGTCGAAACAAAATGGAAATATACGCTTATACAAAATAATACATACCGGGTTTGTTGCAGGTTCCGGTGATTTGGGGGAGGGGGGGGAGGGGGGGGGGGGGCGGTAGGTAGGTTGGTTCCGCCAAGAGTTAGGACCCGGAGTTGTCGAAGAAGTTCCGAACATGTGTCCAAAATAATTGAGTGAGCCAGGGAAATTCGTGGAGGAGGTACGACTACTACTTTTATTCTTGCTCGTGGTAAGCACGTGCTTTTGGAAGACCCGAACGCAAGTTTTCGGTGTACACGCATTTTAGCTTCACGTGCTCCAAGTTGTGGTCTGTTTTAAGTGTGTAGGTTCACGATTATAAAAAGTTAATAAACTTTCGTATAGCTTTTTTATTTTTTTTATATATATATTTACGTTTTTACATTGGGGTAAGTCAATGTGCATCTTTCCGTCAAAGCAACTTTGCAACTGCGGTTGTTTTTTTACCCCCCAGATTTGCGGTTCCATCAGAACGACACGGCAACTCTCATTGCTTTTTTTTTTTTTTTTCAGATTTTCCTTTTGTTTTTTATTGAACAAAATGTAGGAATTCGTTTTACGACTTGTAGTACACCAGCACCTTTACTCTGTAAATCAGCTTCGCAAAACCGCACAGTATATGTCTGTTTTTTTTTTTTTTTAAGTCGCTATTTTGCGTTTTGTATGTCACTAGCTGTACGTGCACATTGTTTTTTTTTTTTGTTTTTGTTTTTCATCCCCCCTTTCGTTTAAAGTTTGCCAGTGTGCTCGCATGCCTCGTGAATGTCTGGCGCCGTGCGAGCCAGCGAACGCGTCACATCCGTCACGTCACTTCCTACCTCGTCCTCCTCTCCCCCCTTCCCCAGCTCCTCCTTCCCCTCCTCTCCTTTTCCGCGTCTCGCGGTGTTTCATTCATGCCGCCCCGGTGCTTGCACGCGGCCTCCTCGTCCCACGGCGACACACACACGGCGCAGGCGGTGACGTCACGTCCGGTTTTTCTCTCTTCCTCGCTCTCTTTGATATTTTTGTTTTTCTTTTCTCCCGGCTGGTTGGTTCATTCATCCGCGGCGTCTCCCTCTCTCTCTTTCCTCCGCTTTTACGGCCCGCGTTCTCTCTCTCCCTCATTCGCCACGGCCTCCTCCTCCCCCTCTTTCTTTCGCCTCCCACGGGCTGGCTGCCCGCCGCCATTCACGTAGTAAGCCAAGCTGGGCCTTTCTCTTTTCTCTTTTAAGTTCGTGCCGCTGCTGTTATCGTGGCGTGGTTCGTTCCTCTACTCTCTCCCTCTCCCCCCCCCCCCCCCCCCAACCCGGTTGCTGCCTCGCTACGCTGTTTTTTTTTTTCCCCTCCCACTCCTCCGCTATTTCCTCCTTTCCACCGTCGTACGCTGTTGCTTGCTGAGAAGGCGCCTTCGCCAGCTTTGCTGCGGGTGCGACGGCGGAGGGAAGCGTGTTGGTAGTCGCGTCGTCTGCGACCGCGTTTTCTGCCAGAAATACTCCGTGTGTGCCCCTGTGTGTGTGTGTGTTTGGTGTAGGCATATTTCTTGTTTATCGCCGCCAATGCGCGTACTACCTGCAGCCCGTGGATACTGACTGAGCCTGCTTCGGGATGTCGGACTACGATCTGCTCGGGTTATTCGAGCCGACGTCGGAGTGCTGCGGTGTTGCGTCGTAGCTTCGGATCGGTGGTGGTGCTGGGGGGAGAACCGGCGAAGTTGTTTTGGCTTTTGGTTCGCGTTCGCCGCAACCCGGCCGGCTCTTTTTTCTTTTTAATTTTATTTATTTACTCCTACTTTGTTTTCTGTGGCCGACATGACGAGGCGGAGGTTGAGATCACGGCGTTGGCGGACCAGCGCCTGCCGCCGGCACGCCCCGAGCGCCTAGGACTAAGACTCCGTGTTGGCTGTCGTCTGCGAAGCCTCCTGGGTTCTCTCTCTCTACCCGATGTTGGAACTCCGACACTCTTCGTCCTTGGCGAGAACGTTTTAAGTCGATAGCGTTCGACTCGAACAAAAAGCTGCGTATATCGAGCCCGTATTCGTCGGTGCTCACCACAACTTCGAAACGTGTGGAGTTTTTGCCTGCTTTGCCGATAAGTCCAGCTGTGTGCCGACTTGGATGCGGCCTCAAGAACCCAACGTTCCTCGAGTCTGAACGGACACCTTGCATCGGTTCTTCGCCAAGTGTTTCTGGTCAGCGGAGCTTTTGATGTGGGCTGTAGCGAGTTCCTCCTGACGTCTGCGGAGTTGTGTCGGCGTGGCGTGTGGCGTCTGACGTTCCATGCCGGACCGTCGTCGGGTGCGTTGGATGAGGCAAGATGCTGCGCTGTCTGTCGCTCCCTGCGTATCGCTGTCTCAAGGAAGACGAGCCTGGCGACGACCAGGGTCAGTGGCTCTCTTACCCTCGCTGCCCGTTTATTTTGGGCAGCCGTCACCCTCCCTCCCTCGCTCGCTCGTCGCTACACGCGTGAGTAACACGCGAGTACACTCAGACGAAGAGTTGACGCTTGCACCGACGTCGGCCGCCATTATGGTGACCCCGCTGCTGAGCGCGTACTGCAGCGGTCAATATGAGCTGAAACAACCCTTAAAGCGTCTTAAACGCACTTATAAGTATTTTTTTTTTCTTTTTTAGAGAATTGTTTTATGAACCGGGATGTTCAGGTCCCATTGTTTGGACCGTCTGCTAAATTGAGAGATAGGGGAGCTTGCGGCGGCCTCCGATGGAGAAAACTGCCGCATCAAGGGTTCCAGCTTATATTGCCCGCGACTGTACGTCCTGCAGCGTACGAGATGCACACGAACGAGTCCTCGAATAGACCTAATGCCGACGTCAGCGTAGTTTATAAAATGAGCCGAGTAGTGTAAAAGAGACACTTTGTAGACCAGCCAGCGCTGCGGGCACATGCCCTTCATCTCAAGTCCGGTTTCTGCGCACAACAAGTGCGCAGGTCCGTTGTATGTCGCTTTCTGCGAGAGTTCAGAGTCTGGTACCTAAACCTCGCCTTACGTTTCCGTGCCTCAGTCAGAGCGACTTGAGAAGCTGGGAGGTAGTTAGTTCAGAGAAAGGGCGAGTTGATGTTTCCGCTTATATTCTGGTCAATGCTACAGTCGCGGACACAATGTGCTCGGACGCGTGTATACGTACGCGAGCGGTTCTTCCTCGAACCGCCAGGTAGCACGAGCGAGCGACCCGTGTGGAAGGAAATGGGTCACACGTTGGTAGTGGCTCTCGAATGACGTTCCCTTTGTCTCTACTTATTGTGGATGTACGGTTACACGCAGGCAAGGTCAAAGAGCCTGACACTAGCGGGACCTAGATGATAGAGTGCCGAGGTTTATGGTGTACTTGAAGGATTGATTCGCATCCGTGGTACAGGATGATACACAACAGGTCGGGCACTGACACGTCGGCAATTAGTCGCGACTGAACAGTAACGATGACCTAACGACGGACGTGATTTCACTGTTAGGTAGGGTGGACATAAGATACAAGCATCCGGTCGGGTACGGATTGCTGAAGTTACAGAGTGTCTAGTATTAGCGCGAAAAATAGTATGCAGCTGGTGAAGGCAACAGTTGTGTTTAAGGATAACGCGGTAGACTGGGATAGGGTCACGAAGCCTGTCTGGCGTTGGAAGATGTGCACTCTGAAAAGCAAATCCGTCTTGAAAGGGTTCTTCGACGCCCCAAGAACTCTTCCAGCTCGTGAAGAACGGTTTCGCCTCAGGCACCGTCGCCCCCTGGCGTACTAAACCGGCAACTGGGCGATGAAGAACTTTTTCGCATCAAAAATAGGGCTTTAAAGGACCCCTTATGCCCCTTTCAAGAAGAACGCTTGTGGGAAAATATAGACGAGCAGAAGATCTAATAAGAGTTATTTGACTACCCGATGCGCGTGACCGAAAGTCCAAACATGGTTAGGAGTATTCAACCTGGTGGGGTTAGGCTAGTCTTGAAGGCACGCGATGCAACATTGAGCCAGGGTGTACAAGGTAACATGGAATGAACGCAATTCGAAGACGGTGTACCGTCGGTCGTGGTTGCGCGATTTAATGATCGCGACACAGTGTGTTTACCGCGACCGAGACTGTGCTGTGTTTGTCGTACCTACCAGAAGAAGACTGGCAGCGCGGTTGAATGTCGTTTGATTGCGCGAAGCCTACTCCAGTTAAAGTCCCGAAGGGCGTCATTAAGCGGCCTGCGCGATAGGCAGCCGCCTTTTGGGGTTTCCGAAGAAAGTGGGCGAATCGTGTGAAGCGTGTGCAAGGGAAGTTCAGCGTACTGCTGACACGAATCTGATCTTGTTTGACGCGGGGGGTCCCTCTCTTGTTTTTTTTTTTTGTTGTTTTTTTTTTCCCACAAAAGAAGGATAATGTTATAGGTCTTCGCGTTGTGGGGCCGTCTTTTGAAGTCGTCTTCGGAGTCTTTCGAGCAACAATGCGGTTACGCATTGCTTTTAACGTACGCCTGAGGGTCTCTTGCCCCCGTTCTGTTTTTGCTGCTGTTTTATCTAATGATGATATTTATTTGCACATGATTTCGTCCTGGGTGGCGTGCAAGGATATTTGGATCTCCTCGCCAACAGCGGAGACAGCCTCGCGAACTTCCCCCCGTCTAAAAGTACGCGCAGTAGACTTATGAATCTTCATTTAGATCTTGAAACTTCCTTCGAATATCTGAGCGTGATATGGTTCACATAGTTTGGTTAGGCAAAAAAAAAAAATGTATATATATAAAAGTAACTACGAGCTTTGAACATCTACGTCTATCTACCGCTGTCGTTCTTTGGGAAGCGGATGTTATTGAACTGTATAGATAAACGATAAAAAGAAAATGCTCAGAAGAGCGACACAGACGGCACAGCAGCTTTCGGCTTTCAACGGAACATTACGTTTCGTTGAAGCATGAAGGTGGCGAAAAAGAATACGGCGGTAATTGTCCGGGCCATTAATGAGAGGAAGATCATCGATGTGCTCCGCTTGGGCGGTGAAGCAAGGAATGCCCTAAGAGTCGTTGTCCGGTGGAATTTTGTGGAATCTCTGGCTGCAGTACCTCGGACAGTATAAGCTGAAACAGCCCTCCATGCTTATTTGACTTACCTGACAGTTTTTTTTTTTTATTGAAAATAAACTTTGGTCCAGACATGTGTTGCAACGTAGAGTATCATAGTAGAAAAAACCCAGAGGCAAGGAGCTAAAAAGGACAAGAACAACACCGTCTCAGGTTGTTCTGACAGTGCCAAAGGAGTTTGTATTGGCGAGGAACGCCATGAGTACTCGAAGATGCTCCATGGCGATCTTGGTGCCACTGGTTTAGAACGACCCTCTCGAAGCTTCGAAGGGGCCGAAATGGCGATTGCCATGACAGCGATCAGCCAACTACCTCGCGAGGTTTTTGGTCGTCTGTATGTTAATATCTGTTTGTGTCCGGCTAGCTGGCAGGGAAGGCAACGGCGCGACTTGCCCAGCATCCAGTGAATTTAGTAGGAGCCAGACTTAAAGGGGCATTCAAGTGGTTTCTGAGATCGTCTATTCTTTAGCGATAACTCAATCCACGGGTTCTAAGCTTCCTAAAAATCCCGAAATTACGCTTGTGGGTGGCCGATTTACCCCTTTAAAAATGTAAGCAAAGAACACGCCTACCTCTCTGCGCCTTGGAGCACACACGAGGGGGCGCCGTCAAACGGAGTTTTCTAGGGTGCCTACATGAAAGCGCGCGTGTGTATGAAGGCACTCTAGAGTTTTCAAGCCATCATTGCTGTATTACGTCTCCTACATCCAAAGTTCGAACTTTAGCTTTAACTCTTTTAATTTGTGAACATTTATGGAGCTGGTGAAGACCCGAGAATGCAAACCCCCCCCCCCCCCCCCCCCCCCCCAAAAAAAAAGAGAAAATAGTGCCCCTCTATTTGTACTACTGCGAGTTTTTACTAGTGCGTCTTGCCATCTAGCCGGTCATTTCTATTGACTAAAGTCCAACGAACACTGTGCATCAATTGAGCTCGTGGGAACCTTGGTGCGAACTGTAGGCGTAAACAGAGTTTCGATCGAACGTTTGAGTTCGTATTATCCGAGGGCGTACTCCAAATGGCTCCACTTTTTTTTTTTTTTTTTTTTTTTTTTGCACCGAGAAACTGGGCGCGTGAAAGCACGTGCAAGAGTACAGCTGAGCTGTTTTAACCGGGCGGTAGCTTGCTCCACCTGGTGGCCGTTTGTAATTTCAGTGGCTAGACGTCTAGAGAGCTATATATATCAATAAGGAAATGGGAAAAAGATAGCTTCACCTCGTCTAGAGCGACTCACCGCGAGTTGAGTGGAACCGAAACACGTGTATAATGTGCAACACTGTCCGCGGTACTCTCGCAATCGCGTGACTTTATCTCCCGATTTGTTTGTACGCGCTCTCGCGCAAACGAGACGCCGTAGATAAAGCCACGCGCTCCCTCTGGTAGCTTTGACAGTATTTTTTTTTTTAAAGGTATTTTAGGTTTTATCATTTGGTGATCTGCCGCGTAGAGTGCTTTCCCAAAAAGTTGACGCTCCAATTTCTTTTTCTTTTTTTTTTTTTTTTTACAGTTGTAGCGTTTGTAGAAGCGTCACATTCGCGTCCCTCGAAACGGGTTTTTATTGAATAGGATAAAGACGTCATATGCGAGTTGGTATCTCATCAGCGACGTGCATGATTGCGTCGGTGGCCTCGCAGTGTACGCGCAGCGCTGTTGTAACGTTAGTTTGTTTTTTGTTCGTTATAATTGGCTAGTTAATGGTGACAGATTGCACTTGGGTTATCCTCTGGAAGCGTGATAAACACTGTGCGGCACGGTAAATGCGAACACAGCGGCGGGTCTTTTTCGCACTTCGAAACGCCACCTTTGTTGTTTCTTCGGTTGGTTCGACGAACGTACGCTTTCCATCGTGTTAACAGTGTTGAGAGAATTCGCAGTGGACCTTTATCTCCAAAATCCTGTACAGTGTAATGCACAGAATGTATAGTATTGACGAGCGATCGTTGAAATTTGTTTGGCACGCATTAAACGGTCGTTTCGGGAGTGGAAACAGAGCCTGCGTTTTTATCAATGTCCCCGCTAAATTTAACGGGGAAATTAGATTAGCGAACGAGTTGTTTTATGGGTTTCTGTTAAAATCCATGCTAAAAGCTAAGAAAAAAAAAGCATTTGCTTTTGCTGCGTGAAATGGTGTCGATTGGAATCTTGTGGTGGAGGTTACGGTGAGTGTGGAAAACGCCCTTCACAATACAAAGTTTTACACCATTAAAGGAGCTGTGCAACGATTTTCAATTGGAATGTTTTTCTCTCTACACGAGCTTACCGGCACACCTGGGACTCAAGGATACTCACACGCAACGCCATTGGCCAAGAAACT